AGAGTATGTCACAGTGGGATCAGAGACAGAACTGTGAATGCCACTCAAAATGTAAATATCTGCACAGGGAACTGCARTTATTTGTTCTAACATGATTCATCCTGTCATCCTATGGATCCGTATGTAAAATAGGTAAAATATTTTTGTATGCAACTACAAACCTCTTACAAATGCTCAGCAAAGCTCATCCCCATGACTTTATACACTGCAGAGTGATTTSTCTTCTGCACRTGTTTCGAAGTTGTTTTTAATAGAACTTTTATTTTGCAGTACAACTCCTTTTTTGGAGCTTTGATGAATGAAACTGGGAACCCCAGATTCTCCCTCTCCCCATTCTGGTGTTTCTGGGAAGGGGATTAGAAACTGTCACCTGGGACATGCTCTGCCTGCAGGGTTGGACCAGGGTCTGTCTGATTGCTTTAATTTCCTGGATGCCAGGAACCTAGGTGCCATTTCTCTTGAAAATGTCCAAGTCCTGGGAGTTCCATGGTGGTGTAATTCCCCAGTTTTGATTAAAGCCGGCTACCAACATTTTTCTTATGAGCACAAGTGAGGAAAGAATAACAGTTCCTTTAAAAGCAAAGGAAACATTTCATTCAGTGAAACACAAATGATTTTTTTTTTTTTTGGGTCAGGGAATTTCCATTGTGGTATCCTATACCAAATAGCCATAACTGTACTTCAGAAAAGTGGAAATACAGGTGTTTTTTGGTTTTTTTTTTTTTCAAAAAGGCACTTCAGAATTCTGTCTAACTGAAAATTGAATGGGGAAGAGATTCCCATCATCTTAACTCCTGTATCTGCTAGGACTGTGATCCTAAATAGTGGCATATCTAAAGAAGGATTGACTATACATATATGTGTATATGTATATATGTATATATATATACATATATATATATATACGTATCTCCTTGATATATTATGTATAATTTGTATACACATTTTCATGGAGACGTCTTTCCTGGAAATATTTATGGAACCTTTCTCTTCTAGCAGGTAATAAACACTTAAATAAGATTTTAGTTTATAAATGAGCGTAATAGTCTTATGAAGGGAAAAAAAAAAAAAGTCAGTCACTATATCTATATTTCACTGTCACTATAATGATAAGTAGCAGAGTGAACGTGATCTATTTTGGAATTGTTCAACATTGCTGATGAATTTTCACAGCTGTAAGTGAATGCTAGGTATTATGATGCTTAGTTCAATCTTTTGTTTATTTGTTTTTGTTTCCCCAAGATGCCATKATAATATAATGAAAATAGCTTTTTCAAACTCTTACGTTTAGGTATTTTATTTATGTTACGTAGTTTCAACCTGATGAACACACAAAACCAAAATGTATAAATTGCCTTATCCTTCTGGGAAGAATATCACCATTTAATTTGTTAAAGTTTCCTATTGTACACATGGTGGAGGTGTTTGGGGCTTTAAGGTTTGGATTTTTTTAAGGTGTTGGGTGTTTTAAATGTCATTCTTAACTGGCAAGGCTAATTCTATTAATTCTGTAGCTAGAATTAAAATTCTGCARTTTTCTTATATATTTTCAAATAAACTGCACAGCTGGAATGCAATTTGATGTTATGGCAACCAGAAGGGAGTTTAAATCCAGCAAGGCTGTGTRGATCTTGTTTTTTAAAAATTAGGAGATTTTAAAAGCCACTCCCCAACTTTTRCTAAAATAACCWTAGTTAAATCCTGGAATTATGACACATCCTTTTTAATTTGTTTTATAGAATGTTGTTAAAATAATTGCAGTACTTTTGATATTTTTTCTCATAGAAAATTTGACAGTGTTGTTATATTGCAGTGATCTAAGTATGCATCGACTATCCC